GGGGTCGTCCTTCTGAACTCCCAGTGCCCGTGAAGCATGTTAAGTACACAGTTATGTTAAGTATTCTGGCCTTTGGGTGCTGCTTCCTGTAGGACCTGCCAGGCTGCTGCCCCAGACCCCCACTCTTCACACTGCTGACATCAGACTGCTCTGCCAGCACCACCACTAACCACATCATAAAGGATGCAGACCACAACGCCATGATGGGCCTCATAAGCGATGGAGACCAGTCTGCACACACACAGGGGGTGAGCGAGCTGCTGGAGTGGTGCAAGGCCCACAATCTGCTGCTCAGCATCTACAAGATGAAGGAAATGATTGTGGACGTCTGACAAACCCAGGGAGAGCATAAAGGCCAATTAATACTACACTTTGTCATGTCGCTATTGGTCACACTCAGGGTGATGTAATGCTAATTTCATCATCCGCGATTTGCACCAGGCAGCTGCAGATGGCATATGTGTAGTCCCCATTTTTTTGTCCAGCAGGGATCATGTGCATCTGTGCACGTCGACTGCGCATTTGCAAGATAATTAACTAGGTGTTACTGTAGGTGGCAGCACCGACTTTCACAGAGCAAAGGTCAAGCAAGAAATAGTAGAGGAGGAATAGCTGCACGAGGTGCGGAGTTATCCCCATATCTAATGTTTACATTTTTATTATCCTGATTATTTATACTGTCCAGACTGTATTGCGCGGTTTACAGTATTTTGAAAAGCGAAACTATTCCCGCATTTTGAAATCTTTTTAGATAAAACCCGTCTGGGGGGTCTGGCTAATATTGTTGTAAGGATTTCAAAATGTCACGTTATGCCATATTACCTTATGAAAGTCTACCCGTTTCACTACCCTTCTTGTATTAGTGTTTGTTGCGGTACATCTGCCCTCTGCTGGTCTGGTGGAGTATCACTGCTGTATGCAGCACCGACCACGACCATCAGCAGCCAAATGCAGCATGAATACAAGCTTCTAGGCACAGTGTCCCTCAGCAGTAATCAAACTCTCCGCCCTGAAGGGTGCTATAAGGTGCTATAAGAAGTATAATATTAAGTCAGTGTTTAGGATTGGCTGCTGCATCCAAGGAGGGATCTATGAATATGTGTTATGAGGAGCTGCGGAGCTTTCCTTCAGGCTCTTGACAGACAGCTCTGTGAGCCAATGCGAGACCCTGCTGGTGGTATTTCGGCCATGATAAACTGAGACCCAGGACCAGTGCTCATAAACCAGCCTGCGAGCTGCATTCCCACCTTTCAGGACTGTCCCACTCCACCCACACACTCTCTCCATCTTCCAGGGGTCAAACGGATGCACCGTATGTCTTCCACTGATCGATGCATTACACTCTAGTTACGATGGGAAGCAGGACACACAGTGCAGCCTTTACAGCCCACATCCTCAAAACAAACCCCTTGGTGAAGCTGGAAAAGGCCCCCTAGGTCCCTCCTCCTCTGCATCTCTTTTTTCATCTCTCTCTTCCTTGACCTCAACCGCATCTTTCATTTAGCCAACCCCTCCCCTCTTTATCGCTTTTATATTCTCTCTCTCTCTGTCTCTCGCTCCAAGACTCATTATTACACATAAACACATAGACACACACCTCCTCACATCACTCTCTCCCTACCCCTCCTTCCCACTGTTGCTTAATCTTCTACTCAACACAGTTAGTATTCACACTCAGATGTGACACTTTCAGATTCTTTCATCAAAAGGAAAGTGCATTTTCTTTTGAGAAGGCAGGTTCAGTCAATTACTGGAGCACCTGGGGTTAAGGTTCTTCCTCAGGTCCCAACTTTGTGGTTTGAACCACAACCTTTTTAAGGCTGTTTCATTCAAAAGGAAAGTACCTGTTACAGAGATTTCAAATTTTAGAGCATAGTTCCAAAACTCACTTAGTCCATTTTTTTTTTACTGTGAATAAAGTCGTGCTTCTCCATCGCAAGTTACAGTATTGACTAATGTAATCCAGTGAAGAACGTATGTTAAATGTTCAAACCTCATCAAGTAGAATGAATGTTCAGGAATGTTCTTGAAAACATATCCATTGGATGGAGTGAACTTTGGAAATTTGCTCTTCAATTGACTACATCTGTATGTGGTTTGCGCAGAAGACAATAATCAAGGTCCTGTTACCCAAACTGTGCCATGCGTGTAGCCGCCAAACGCACTGCATCACCTCTCCATGTGCGTAGCCGCCAAACGCACTGCATCACCTCTCCATGCGCGTAGCCGCCAAATGCACTGCATCACCTCTCCATGCACGTAGCCGGCAAACGCACTGCATCACCTCTCCATGTGCGTAGCCGCCAAACGCACTGCATCGCCTCTCCATGCGCGTAGCCGCCAAATGCACTGCATCACCTCTCCATGCACGTAGCCGCCAAACGCACTGCATCACCTCTCCATGCGCGTAGCCGCCAAACGCACTGCATCGCCTCTCCATGCGCGTAGCCGCCAAATGCACTGCATCACCTCTCCATGCACGTAGCCGCCAAATGCACTGCATCACCTCTCCATGCACGTAGCCGGCAAACGCACTGCATCACCTCTCCTTGGTGTTTCTGGCCGCTCTGCATTGTGTCATTTGTTGTGGACAAAGGGACAACCAGACACATGGGGGTTCCGTGCTCTTGAAAATCCGCTCACTCTTTGATTTATTTCTTGTGCACATAAAGACTGTTACTTTCTTAAAACATTAAAATCAGATACATAAAACACTTTTAAATGAAAACTGTACTAAATTTTAATAAGCAAAATATTTCAGTGGTTTTCTTACAACCCTTCCATATCAACAACAATGAATTACCACAAATAAAACATATAAAATGGCAAAACATGTTTTGAAACACATTACTACTGCATTCTGAAACATCTTGGGAGCATATCTTAAGTGGATGGCTTAAAACTGTACTACATATGTACTAGATGAAGCAAACCACTCCTTAACTTGTACCCAATACATGAAGACTGAGAGTTCCTGTGAGAAGCTCAGCATAAAGCGATTACAACAAAATGACTAAACACCATCTAGCTTCTAGGAGTGGAACTGCATGCTACAGTATCTTGTAATTTTATATACTTTCTTCCATTTAAATATTACCTTTTTTAAACATTCAACAATTTCTTGATGAGCTTCGATTTTACATGTCAAAACCTGTTCCTTTAGCCTCTTCCTTACTCCTGTTCCCTCTCAGAGGCCGGCTTTTGCTTCTCCTGGCCCTCACTGATCCTGGACTCTAAGGCCTCATCCCTGTACTCACTTGGCAGCTGACACCTCTTTCATTTTTCTGACCAAAGCCTTTAAGCTTTAAGGTCGTGTGAGATTAACTCCCCCAGTGCTGTTCCATTGACATGTATTATGTCTGTATTCTCACAGACAGGCTCGGCTGGACTCTTCCCGTCTACCCATGATGCATTGGTGCAGATAGATCTTCATGTTCTGAACCCTCACACTGATTTTGTTACGATTGTTTAGCTGCACATGGTATTTAAAAAGCATTTTAAGTATTATGGGAAAT